AATCAATTGGGCAAAGTTTGTCATGATCAACATGACGATTGCCGCGTCCACCGACCACGACCACCTCCTCCCGTACCCGTTCGTGGTGATGGACATCCTTGAACGGTTCAAGGTGACCACCACCGTTGGCCCACTCACAAAGGCCACGAAGATTTGGGCGATCAGCACCCAAACCTTCAAGAAGCGGTCGGACAACGCCGGACCTGCCACTGCCGTGCAACGGTGCCGTTCTGCTGCTGGCCCAGCCGAAGCCCAGGCCCGGGCTAACCTTGCCTCCATCGCCAACTCCCTCAACCGGCTTCACTTCAAAGTTGACGGGATGGATGGCTACCTTGAGCGGCTCGACGAGGCTATTCAACGCCAAGGGCACGCCATGAACGCATACTTCCAACGCGTTAACTACGTCCCCCCACCGTACCATGGCACGTTCTTTGGGCAAGTGTACAGTGACGAGGACAAAGAGGATGGCTCCTACGCCCCGTCAAGCTCCCCGGACGAGGACGAGTTCGACGACGCCGTTGACGGTGATGAGATGGACGACGACGACGACGAGGAGGAAACCGAAGACGAAGACTAGGCCGCCCCTAGAATTTCTCTCTTTTGTTTTAATTATCATGTCTCTTAATGCTTCCGTTGTACTCCGCTATTTCCCATCTTCAATAAATAAAAATTATCTTTTATCTTTTTGTTAATGTCAAAAGGGGGAAGAAAAGGGCTATGCATATACTAAGGGGGAACGTCTCTATAAACGAGACCGTTTGATTTTAATCCCACTAATTTTTTTTAAGCACAAATTAAGGGGGAACTTTTTTTTCACAACTTTTGAAAAACAAATATCCCTTAGTATGCATATCCCCGTCTTGTTTGCCATTATCAAAAAGGGGGAAATTGTTGGAACACGGGTTTACGCCTTATGACGTACTAAACTGTGTTCGGTTTTTATGACAGGTTTTGATAATACCAAATCGCCGCGACATATCGAAGCTAAAGTGAGCAAAACTAAGGAGAAGGAACATGGCATGATGACTTGAGAACCAACAACCCAGAATCAAGAACGAAGAACTAAAATCGTATTGAGTCGGTCTTAATGTGATCAAGACCGGCACAAAATTCCAAATCTTGGCTCTCTAGGCTCAATTCATAAAGATCTCTTTTACATGTTCAAAAATATTTTTCTTAAGTTTAAACTTGGGTCAAAACACTTGGAGTTCGCCCAAGCCAAAAACCAAGCCATCCGGCGTTCGGCTTTCAGAAACCGGCATTCGGCTTTCGGTTTTCGGCATTGGTTTTTGGCGTTCAAACCAACCAAGTGGTTTTCAACTTTTTATGACTGGTTTTTACCTCTGGGCATATTTAATTAGCTCTCCAACAAAAACGCCTCAAAAACCACTCTCCGTTTTTTGTCGTTTAGTAAAAACCATGTGAAACGGCACGAACTTGGTTAGCCGTGGTTTTCAACTAAATGACGTGGTTTTCAAGATTTTTTACTTGTTCTCTTAGCAAAATGCAATAAACAAATGATTTCTAAACTTGGTTTTTATTTTGGAGAACTTGCATTTTTGACATCGGCTAACGGCGTGACTAAACCAACCATGGGTCTGGCTAAACCAGCCCAACAGCGATGTTGAGGTAATCAACAACACTGTCTAGACTGGGTAGCTAAAAACATGGTTTGGCGTTAAGTCTTCCAACAGCGATGTTGGTCACTAGACATCGCTGTTGAGCCAAGGTTGGATTTCCAGAAACTTCTAGAACAGCGATGTAGGCTTCCCTACAGCGCTGTCCAACCTAAGCCAAAAATATAGGGCATTGGCAGAAAGTTTTTGGACAGCGATGTTGACCCAGCAACAGCGCTGTCAGGCCAAACTTCCATCTCCAAAGGCAGACCTAAACAGCGATGGTCTAGGATAGAACATCGATGTAGAGACCTGACGGTTGGAAGGAATTTAAGGCTAAAACTTTCCTTGTTTGGAAGTCAACAGCCAAAACAGCGATGTAGGGGTTTTGGACATCGCTGTTGGCATGACCGTTGCTTCCCAATTTTTGAAAATCAAGCCTAGAACAGCGATGTCCAAGCCTAGGACAGCGCTGTCTCGGTGAATTTCAGCAGATCCAATTTTAATCAAATCCCACAAATTATGCCAATCACCCCTTAAATACTTTGGTCCGTTGGAGCCTTTTTTCTACTATAAAATGGGGTGTTTGGGTCTGTTTTACATATCACATTACCTCACAACTCCTACTCTTTCATTGCAAATCATTCTTCAATTTTTCATAGTTTTTGAGAGCCATTTTTGTGAAGCCTGTGTCGTGTTCTTGAGCGTTCTTAGTTTACTCATTATCCACTCTAAAAGAGAGTATTGTTCTTGAGTGTTTTTAGTGTTCTTAGACACTTGACAAGAGAAGGTATTTCTCTCGTTGTTCGAAGGAAGGGTTGTTTCCTTCGAAGGTTCGTTGAGGTTCGTGTGACTCGAATTCTCAAGTTGTACGGGTTTGTTAAGCACCGTTAAGCTTAACGAGATAGTAGTGTAGCTCGAGAGAGTCTCTCGGGAGGCTGGACTAGCCACAAGTTGTGGTGAACCAGGGTAAAATTGGTGTGCCTCGTTCTTTTCTCTTTACTTCTCGCTTATTCATTTTTATTCCTGCGATTTCTTGATCAAACGCTATTCACCCCCCCTCTAGCGTTGGTCTATTATTCTAACAATATGGAATTGAATGATTATACAAGGCTAGACGATTACATGAACACGTAAATCCATGCCCAAATATATGTGTTGTACATGTATGAACGAGTGTGTATTTGTTGCTTTATATGCTTTACTACTTGGCATAACCTTCGTTGAAACCATATGATCGTAGTTTTTCCCATTATAAAGATATATGGTATGACACTCGTTAAAATAAATCACCTATCAATCCGTTGGCATGACTAGGTACTACATATATACATATATGGATATATTGTAATCTTGAATGTTCATTATAATTTTCAAAAGGTTGAACGTAATTCGACAGACCAAAGTAGAATCCGAGTACTATGAGAGTAGACTGTCAAGTTCTGATAATCTACTATGAGGTGGTGCGGAACTCTAATAATTGATTATCACAAAGTGACAATCGATTATCAGAGGCTGCGGAACATTTGATAGTCGACTATCACCAAGTGATAATCGATTATCAGAGTCTGCAGAAGTTTGATAATTGTTTATCAAAAAGTGATAATTGATTATCAGGGGCTGTTGAACTTTTAGAAAGGTCCGAAAGCAAAGGGCTTTCACGGTAAGAATCAATTATTGAAATATGGATTAAAAACTGAGACTTAGCTTTCAAAATAAGTCTTCGGGATCATAAATCAAGCACGCCCACTTAAATCCAAAGGTAGTATACCGTTCATAACATCATATCATCATCTTAGACGCATGTTTTAGGATCATAGCATACTTTGCATACCGCGACAAGAGGTCAGGCCTAGTGCGCCTCTTCCGCGGGCCCGTCCAGGAGCCTTTGGGATCCAACGGGTTTCATCCCATTGCATACTGCGTCAAAAGGTCAGGCCTAGTGCGCCTCTTCCGTGGGCCTGTCCAGGAGCCTTCAGGATCCAACGGGTTTCGTCAGGAAGGCTTGTGTACGTACATGGTAGCTAGACTTTCAGCTATCACCCACATTTTCTAGTCTCCTCTAGGAGACTAAGGCATTCCTCGGCTCATCTACCACGTGGGGATGATCACCGAAGGGCAGGGAGTCCCTGCGCAGTCTAACTCATGCATCATGAATCATTTGGCACTGCAACATTTGTAAGCAAATACCCAGATCTCACTTATCAATTTGTATGTGGTATTGCAAACGCACCGCACTTCATATCCAACACCGTCGACGACAAGGCCAAGGTATTTATATTTGGATAATATTCCAAAATGATAGACTTACCCCGTTACTTTATACATTTTATTATTTAAAAATACTAGAGATAAACTACTCAAATTTATTCTAAGCACAACTTTGATTTCCAGTTATGCAAAGTCAAAGAAACGAGCAATGGGTTTTGGCAAAAGATGCAAGAGCACGACGAAAACATATACTTCAACCGAGACGATTGCATAACGGTTTTTTGAACATAACTTCTTATACCTGATAAAATTGAAAAGACACACAAACACACAAATATATATATATATATATATATATATATATATATATATATATATATATATATATATAAATATATATATATATATATATATATATATATATATCATTTAAAAGTGAATGAATATAAATTTTAATTTTATGTTTCAAAAATTTCAATTGTAGACATAGATAACACCGTCATATTCTTGGTCAAGAAAACAAATTAATCCTTTGGTGGATGTGACAAATGGTATTTTTTATTGTTAAGTAAATGAGATCATATAGTTCAAACCTACATTTCTTTACCTAGAATGATAATAGTTCATACCAGATCAATCCTAGATAAGAAAAATTTAGATTACATTTTAATAGATTTAGAACACAACTAATCAAATTAGACTTTTAGTCTGATACAAATATCGTATCGGATAGGGAAGAACTTCGAGCGTTCTTTAAGCTCCAAGAAGATGAGATAGAGAAAGATGGAAAACTTCGAGCGTTTCCGGATTCCAAGAGAATAGAGAAGGAGATTAGGGTTTTGATATATCTTTATTGATTTTAGAATAACAGGGAAGGATTACAATATATAGAGAGTAAAAAAAATACTAGTTGACCTAATGGGCTCGGGCCCATTTTAAACCCTAATCTATAGAATATTTATAACTAATAATAAATAACCACTAAATAATAATAAAACCAATTAAAATATTCTAATTAACTATTCGTATCATTCCCACCCCCTTAAAATCCACCTTTTCCTCAAGGAGGAGGCTCCCACTCGTGCTTTAAAACTGGAGAAAGAATGCTGAACCAAAGGAGCAGTCCACTCTTTGAATCTTCAATCATCTTGGCTCTTGCAGCAAAGTGATGAAAAGATGCGACGGGGCGCATAGCATATGTAGTTGCTCGCGATGAAATTAGGTGCTTTGTCTTGACCACATCGACAATGTCAAACAACTTATTGGTGGCAGCGAATGAAATGAGGTTTGCCACCTTCTCGATATTTGCTAGAGCTTTATACGCTACAATTGTCATCCCAACTGAGGTATTTGGTGGCACATATGATTCACAAGGTGTAGAACTCGATTTGTTTGATGGCTCGTCACTCTGAATATTAGCACCATAATCTTCAATAAGAGCACCGCCACCCTCTCCAATGATGTCAGACCCACTATAATCATCTTCTTTGATATGAGACCCCGCACTTGATTCTTTTGAGTCATCAATGTCCTCCGCAGTCGGGGCAGAGAGTGTGGTGGCATCTTCCCTCACATGGACAAATATGTCTTTAGCCTTTTCCGATGTCTTCTCAAAAGAAATATAATCCAAAGCATGTAACGGAGCAAATCGAATCTTGAACTTTTCAACAAAATCCTTCCAACCATTAATTAAGCCGCCACGTATGCGCCAATTAAACCAAGGCAGAGCCCTCTAACATTGATGTCACACGGTCCAAACGATCAGCTAAAGGGACTTCATAAAACTGGAAATACTCACATACCGTAGTTAACCACTGCACAGGTTTGGTTCCGTCACATCTTGGGGGCAACGTTAGTGGAAAAAGTGGAGCGCCTGTCACTTTCCGTATAATACCCATAATGCATGCGCTGAAAATTTGTAACTCAAAAGGAATTTGACTTGGCACAATTCGAGGTCCACGAACTGAATCTTGTACCGAGCAAAAAAAATTCTATGTCGAGCGCATCATAATCAATTTGGCTTTCAAAATTATGGATCGACCTGAGCTTCATAATAATTTCATACACATGATCAAAAATAAAGCACACCCCTTCATTATACTCAAGTTCTTCAGAAGGTACCTTCTCTAAAAAATCCAGAAGTTTGTCCAATGCTACTAGTGACTGGGATAGCAAAGAATCCATCGACATCATATTTCTTGAGGCAATTACCTGATACCGCACAGAGATAATACAACCAAATATGTGGCACCAATAAAATTGCCATCCCCCAAGTAATTTGTACCCCAAAATTCTAGGCAAATCAAAAAAATTACAAAGCTTCTCGGGTGATTTTTTTCATGTTTCGATCTGGCACCACAGCAAAATTCTGAACAAATCATTGTAACACCAACCAAATTTATGTGGATTACTCTCAAATCCTTGAGCAAATTCTCGGTGGCCACAACAATTGGCACTAAAAATTGAACCACAACACCGGCCTCAAATTTGCCAAATTGATAAATTGATCAATGGGTCACCAATAAGGTTAAACTGGCCACCTTTTATGGTTGTGGGAAAAAATTATGTGAGGGAAATGATGAACCGCAGCACAAAGCAATGGTGTGTATTAGGAAGTATAATTAAATTAGGATACTTCTTTCCTTTCCTACTAGGATTATTCTTTCCTTTCCTACTTGTACTTTGATTACTCTTGTATTCCCTATATATAGGGCCATATCTCTCAATATTCAATAAGACAAGTTATTATCAAATTGTATCATGGTATCGGAGCTAAGGCTCTCAAAAACCTAGCCTCTCTTTTTTTCCGACCGCCGCCCACCATGGCAGCCCCGTCGGATCCTTTAGCGTCCTTACCCTCCGGAGTAAAACTTTTGCTTCGGAGTCTCCACAACTTAATCCCAGAAAAACTCACCGAAACAAATTATCCGGCATGGTCTCTCAATGTCCAGAGAGCTCTTTCAGCTAATCTCCTCCTTGGATGGATTGATGGTCATTAAGCAGCCCCGGCGCCAACTATCTCCAAAAACGATAAAACCGTCCCTAATCCAGAGTATACCTCCTAGACCATCGTTGACACACAGATCCGCACGTGCCTCCTAGCGGTCATCAGCCCCTCCGTTCACAAACATGCTCGCGGCTTCATCACATCTGCTGCCCTATGGGATGCTTTGGCCGCACGGTACAACTCCGTGTCCACCGCTCATGTTTATCAGCTTCGGGACAAACTCCACACTCTTCGTAAAGGTACCAATACTATGACACAATACCTTGATGATGTGGCAACTATTCTCTCAGATCTCGATGCCTTGAAAGAAGAGATCTCTGAACGTGATGTGGTGAATGCTATTATTCGTGGTCTTCCCACCGAATACTCATCCTTTAAGCAAAACATTCGCATGAACAATACCAATATTTCGTTAAATCAGCTTTCTGGATGGCTGATCTCCGAAGAAATAAACCTGGAGATGGAGAATAAACTCAGCCTCATCGAGTCTACCATCACCGAACCTCGCACAACACTTCTCGCTACGAACGGTCGAGATCGCGGTAGAGGAGGCTACCGCGGTCGACCGTCACCTGGACGTGGATACAACAGCGGACGTGGAGAAAGGAACAACGGTCGACCGTCCTAGGGAAACGGTCGACCGTCACGGGATCTGCCAACCTGCCAAATCTGCGAGAAACGAGGTCACTCTGCGTCTGCGTGCTGGTATCGATTTTATGATTCTTATACTGCGAACTCCTCCTCAAGTGCTCCCCGTGCAATGCATGCATCTACGAGTAATCATTCTGGAAACTGGTATCTGGACACTGGTGCCAACACCCATGTCACGTCTGATTATTCTCAGCTACAATCTCCTCATCAATAAACCGGTACTGATGCTATTACCGTAGGCAATGGTCAATCCCTACCCATCACACACTCTGGCTCAGGTTTTGTCCATACTCCTAATGGTAAATACCACCTTTCTACTCTTCATTATGTCCCTTCCCTTACCTCTAATCTATTGTCTGTCCATCGATTTACCAAAGATAACAACTGCACTCTTGTTTTCAATGCCAACGATTTCCAGATAGTGGACAATCCTACCAACCAGGTGCAGTACAAGGGCCTCTGTGAGCATGGGTTATACACACTTCCTTCCAAACTCCCAACCGTTGCGTATCAAGCTATCCAAGAGTCCACTTGGCATCGTAGACTCGGTCATCCAGCTCCTGCGATTGCCAAATCTATTTTGTCTTCCTTAGGTTTTCAGTTTTCAGAGCCTTTACATTGTGAATCATGTTATGTCTCTAAGTCATGTCGTTTACCTTTTGAATTGTCTGAACATAAGGCCACAACGCCCTTTCAATTAATACATTCTGATGTTTGGGGTCCCACCCCTGTTCCTTCCTGTAGCGGTTTTCGATTTTATATCTCTTTTGTTGATGATTTCAGCAAATTTACCTAGATTTATCCCCTAAAACATAAATCTGAAGCTTACTCTGTTTTTGTGAATTTTGAAAAAATGATTAAAACTCAGTTTAATTCTCACATCAAAAATTTTCGAAGTGATAATGGAAAAGAATTTGTAAATAACGCTTTTGGCCTTTTCCTTCAAACTTTAGGAGTCCTTCATCACACCTCTTGTCCCTACACTCCTGAGCAAAATGGGGTCGCTGAACGGAAACACCGTCATCTCATTGAAACAGTTGTTTCTCTTCTATATGACTCTGCTCTCCCGACTACCTTTTGGGTTGAAGCTCTTGCCACAGCAAACTATCTTATCAACCGTATGCCCACCAAAACTCTCTCCAACAAATCTCCCTTTGAAATTCTTTATAACCGTCCTCCTACACATACCCATCTTCGTGCCTTTGGTTTCTTGGTCTATCCAGGGCTCCGCCCTTACACTCACCACAAACTTCAACCACGCTCCACTCCTTGTGTCTTCTTAGGATATCACCCCACCACTAAAGGGTATAAATGCTATGAACCCGTGTCTCAAAAAGCTTATGTCTCTCGTCATGTTCGGTTCGTCGAGGATCAGTTTCCATATCCCAAATTGTCATCCCTCCCGTCACCCTCTCCTATAACCCCTATTTTTCCTCCAAGCCCAGGCTCACATGCTCCTGTCCCACTGACGGTCCAACCCCTGACACGTCCCACCAGTCACGGACGACAGCCCGACACCCTCCCTATGGACACGCCACAGACGGTCCAACCCTAGAACCGTACCCCAACTCACCCTCGACCGTCACCTACTCCTCTCCAAAACACACAA